GAACTTAACCACTCTGCCACCAGGCTGACCCTGGGTGTGGGGTCTCTTTTTGGGGTGATGAAATGTTCTGGAATTAGTGTTGATAGTTGCACAACTTTGTGAATGTACTAAAAGCCACTGAATTGTGCAGTTTAAAAGGATGCATTTTATGGTGTGAGAATTATACCTCAATTAAAAAAGGATTGATGCCTGTCTGTCCTGGGGTCTCCCAGGCTGGCAGGGAGAGAGGGGGGTCGTCACGGAAGGCTCCTGAGGACTGTGGGAGGGGAGGAGTGCGCCTCGTGCAGTGGTCGCATGGCGGGCAGCGCCCCAAATCCGGCCTGCACGTGGAGAAGGAGGGCGAGGCCCTGGGCCGGGGTCCGTTGGTGAGGTCTGGATAGTCTTGGCATAGTTGCGCTGGGAGGTTTTGGGTGAGCAGCTCCCTCTGAATTTGCAGGAGGAAGAGCAGGAAGGAAGGAGGGAGGGCGGGCGGGAGGGAGCAGCTGTCAAGTGAGTAGCAGAAATAGCTTTTCTGTACTTTATAGAATCTCACTCTTTTTTAAAATTTAAATTTACTTAACAAATGCTGATGGAGAACAAACCGTGTGCCAGGCACTGTTCTAAGCACTTTCCAAAAACCCTGCTCCTTTATTCGCCCCGCCGTTCAGCAAGGTCGCCACTTTTCTTATTCTCCTCTTAGCAAATGAATGAATGAAGGAGCCGAGAGCCTGATGATGTCAAGGTCAGGCAGCTGGTAGGAGGCCGAGCAGAGATTTGAACCCAGGCCCGGAGTCCACACCCTGAGCGGCTAGCTCGGCGCTCATTCGCTTGTTCGTCATGCAAATGTCTGTTGCGTGTGGACTATGTGCTGGGCCTTTTGCAAAGCACCGAGGGATTCAGAGGTGACAAGCCGGGTGCCAGGGGACCGAGGACTTCCCACTTCAGCAACTGTGACGCACGAAGGAGGGACACAGAACCGAGCGCTTGTGGGCAAGCTCTGCGATGACTCCACTTACAGATGAGCTGAAGGGACAAGGGACGTGCTGTGCTCAGGGTGCCCGGCCTGGAGGTGGGCACGTCTGGCTAGGCATCCAGCCTCCCGTGTCCACGTGTGAAGTGTCAGCGTGGCATTTTGCAGGATGGGGACCCATGGGAGGCATTCCGGGGCTGTTCCCATTGGCCCCTGCCTGCCCCAGCCGCATCCCTGCATGCGTGGGTTCTGGGCCTGGGATCAGCTCCCTTTCTGAGCTGAAGGGCTGGGGTGTCCCTCTCCCGCCACCTGGCAGAAGGGCTGTAACCAAATCCTTCTGCTACCTTGCATCCCTGAGGGGGCCTAACCACGTGTCAGTTCAAGGGGGAGCAGCTCAGGCCTGAACTGTGGGGACAGGCGCCCACAGGGAGGGCCCTGGAACTGTTTGGTCCCGTAAAACCCTGTGACCTGCCAGAGGCAAAGGGGCCCCTGATTCATGGGTTTTAGGTCCTCGTGACTCAGCATTTCCAAACGCCGACACTTGTGATGAAGCCAAAGTTCCCTGAGAGGCAGGACCGGGTACTTCAGGGCTGGGGCCTGGGTCTGACGGGCCTGCACTCCAACCCCCCACCCCCTGGCCTTGTAATGCCTTCCCGAGCCTCAGCTTGCTCATCTGTAAAATGGGGAAATCTAGCTGCCATCTCCTCAGGGCGTCAAGATTGACGATAGTGGAGCCATTTTAAACGGAACCGGCACTCCCTTTCAGCTGCTTTGCTCTCCTGAACCTTTGGACTGGACCCAAACGGGAATTGTTTCACAAGTAATTGTTTGAGAAGTCAGCAGGAGAACGGACACCATCACAAAGACGGAGGACGGTGGACTTTCTGAAGACGGAATCGACAGTCAGTCAATGTTTGGCCAAGACTAACCCTCTGCCTCCAACTCCAGTTAAAGCTCTTCGTAATGCAAACTCTCTCCTTTGCCTCGAAAAGCCCCTGACTTTTACTCCCTAGCGGGACACATTTTGGGTTTCTGCCTGAATCTCGGCTCCCCGAATTGCAATTCTTGAGACCCCAAATACACTACTTGCTTCCTCTCAGTTTATGCCTCTCACAAGGGCGATGTGACAAGTCAGTGCTCCGTGAACGTCAGTGACAACAGTGTCCGACGATAGACCTCACCACCCCAGGGACTCTCCACCGGCAGCCCTTGGACACTGGAGAGCTGGCCCTGGGCTGCACGCCTTAATTTGGGGTCCTTGCCTTCCAGATGGAACCTGAGCTCCAGGCGCACCCCGATGCCTGGGGTGGCTCCATGGCTGGAGCAGCCGCAGGCTGCCCGAGGAAGGCAGTGGCTCCCTTCACAGTCAGGGGAAGTCGTGCCCAAGCGCCCGCCTGCTGCTGACCAGCCCCCCCCCCCCGCCTTATCTGGGGGCTCCAGACGGGGCTCCTCTAACAGGAGGTTTGTTATGGCAGGAAGTCGGCCCGGTGAAGCCACTGCCGTTGGCTGGCATCGTGCGCTGAGCCCACGGCCTGTCATCCTCCTCCCTGGACACCTTTCTTGGTGCTATTTGGCCCTTTGGCCAATTTAGATTCTTTCTTTCTTTGCTTGTTCGCATTTCTCTCAGGCCCTAGTGGGTGAGGGCCCAAGAACTGAGATGGATGCAGGAACAAGGTCAGTGCTGCGGGAAGGCACGCAGTCGTCCTTCGCAGCCCAGGCCTTCCGCACGTCGCATGCAAGCAAGTACATGGTTAAAAGGTGCATTAAGTACCACCAGGAAAATGAGCAGGCTAAAAGGACAGAGCAGGTGGGAGGAGGCAGCCTTGCAGGGGAGAAGGAGGGGAGGATGTCCCGGGAAGAGGCACCAGCACGGATGATGAGTCCCTGAAGATTTGTGTCCCCTCAGCCTGGATCCGGGTCTCCTACCCCTGTGGGAAACCCCAGGAACTCAGGCCTCCCTCCCCCTTCACTGTCAAGTGAACCGATTAGTGTTCCAAGTAGAAGGAACAGCAGGTGCAAAGGCCCTGGGGCAGGAACAAGATTGGTGGGTGTTTCCTGTGACTGACCTAACCAAGTACCACAAACTGGCTTAAACAGCAGGAATTTTTTTATCTCACAATTCTGGAGGCTAGAAGTCTGAGATCGAGGTGTCGGCAGAGTTGGTTCCTTTGCAGGGCTGTTGGCGAGAATCCATTCCACGCCTCTTCTGGCGTCGCCCGTAATCCTTGGTGTCCCTTGGCTTGTAGAGGACTCACCCCGATCTGTGCCTCCACCTTCACATGGCCTTCTCCCCGTGTGCATGTCTGGGGTCAAACGCCAGTCATATTGCATCCGGGGCCCCACAACTCTAGGGTGACTTCATCTTCGTTAATTACATCTGCAGCGACCCTCTTTACAAATAAGGTCACACACAGAGGGACTGGAGGTTGGGACTTCCGCAGATGAATTTTGTTGGGGGTGGGGGGACACAGCTCAACCCCTGACAGAGTGTTCTAGAAACAGCAAGGCTGGCCTTGCTGGAGCAGAGGGCAGGAGGCTGGCTGGGAGGGAGCTGCTGGGACAGACCACCCAGGGCCTGGGGGGGCCACAGTAAGGAGTGTGCAGAACAAGGTGTGGCCACTGCCTGGCAGGAGTGGAAGGGCTGAGGGTGGAGAAAGGAGAAATTGTGACCACACAGCCCCAGAGGGCAATGCCTGGCTCTGGTTTCCGAGCTGCTCAGGAGAACAAGCCTGGCTGCTGAGCAAGGGGTTCCTGAGGGAGCGGGGGCTGGGCCGGCCTGGGATTCAAATCCAGGCTCACCATTTTGTGCTGTGTGACCTTGAGTAAGTCACTTAGCCTCTCTGGGCTCCAGTTTCCTTATTTGTGAAATGAGGATGCCATTCAGAAGATTAAATGGAGGAGCAGAGTCAAGGCTTGGTGCATGCTAACTGCTCTGCGACACAATCTGGCGACATCCTCACCGCCACCCCATTTTACAGATGAGGAAACGAAAGCTCAGAGAGGGCAAGGAACTTGCCCAAGGTCACCCAGTGAGAAAGTAGCAGAGACTTGGGAGTCCCACCGTGCACTCTCCCCTGGAGGACAAGGGCTCCTTATTATAACACTGGTGTGTTTGTACAAAGCAACCAGCCTCGACATATGGCAGGAGGCCGCCCTGTCCTCCTGACCCTGGCTGAGGACGCGCTGGGCTGGCCTTGCGGGGCCTGGGGTGACATCCAGGGCGCCCGGCACATTTCCATGTCCTCCTCGCCCCCTCCCCCACCCCTGCCCTCCGAGCGGCGTGGGTGCCGCCTCTCCTCTCGGTGCCGGGGGGCGGGGGGAGGCGTGTGTCCTCAGATGCCCGCGCTATTTTCGGAGCTCGGTTTGATCCTGATTCCGGCACGTGGGCCGTGACAGGCACTGGGGGCCGACCTCGCTGGAACAGCGTCAGCCACGGATGCTGGCACTGCCCCCGGCGGCCCAGACCCCGGCTCGGCCGGCCCCGGGCACAGCCTCCCATCCTCCCGTCCTCCCATCTGGATGCCTTTTCCTCCTTTTCCTGCCTAACCGCCCTGCCCGGATGGAGGGGCCCGGGCAGACAGCCCTGCCTCGTTCCCGACCCTCGGGACCAAGCGTTCGCAGTGTCACCGCTGGGTGTGATGCTAGCTGTGGGTTTTTGTAGACGCCCTTTATCAGGCTGGAAGAGCGCCCTTCTATTCCTAGATTGTTGAGTGTTTTTATCAGGAAGGAGTGTTGGATTTTGTTAAAATTTTTTCCCCCTGAAAGATGCCTTGTTTTAAAATGCCCCACTCTTCCTTCTGAGGGTGACAACTCGAATTTGTGATTTTCCCAGTCCTCGCTCACGCACTTCTGCACGTCCGCCTGCTTACAGCAGGTGTAGAAGTGATGGGCGTCTGGTCACCGTGCTGTCCGCGCCCCAATGCCTGTCTGCGCGCTCCACGCGGCCCACGAGGAGACAACAGCCCGGCTAGGGCGGGGCGGGCCGGGGGTCGTGCTGGGCTGGGTTGGGGGGGGGGGCCCTCGGCCAGGCTCACTGGCGCTCTGCCCCCAGGCCTACGAGAGGCGCTTCCCCACCTGCCCGGAGATCCCGGTGCTGCTGGGCAGCCAGGTGCTGCGCGAGGCCCGCAGCGCCGACGGCGCGGTGCACGTGGTGGAGCGGAGCTGCCGGCTGCGCGTGGAGGCCCCGCGGCTGCTGCGCAAGGTGGGCGCCTGGGGGGGGTGGGTGGCGGGGATCCGGGGGCCAGGGGGCGGGCCTAGGAGGTGGAGCTAGAGTGTGTGTGTGTGTCGGTGCCAGGAGGGGGGCTCAGGGGTGGAGGGCGGCGGGGTCTGGGTTGGTGGGCCCACCTGGGTCCAGGAGGCTGGGCTGGAACTGGGTGGTGTCGGGGTACTAGGACCAAGCAGGGGTCCTGGGCTCGGATGGAATCGGTGCTCCGGGCTGGGGTTGGTGGGCTGGCGGTGGGGCGGGAGTCGGGGGTCCTGCGGGCCAGGGGTGGGAGTGGGGCAGGGTCCGGGGATCCAGGCCTGGCTGGTAGGCAGGCGCTGGGGGGGGGGGGCACTGGGGATGCCCAGGGTCTTGGGGTGGCCGGGCCGTCCCTAGGGATGTGCGTCACCCCGGCTCCCCTCTACGTCCTGCACGCCCCGCTGCCCCTGCCTTTGCAGATCGCCGGCGTGGAGCACGTAGTCTTCGTGCAGAGAAACGTGTTGAACTGGAGGGAAAGGACGCTCCTCATCGATGCGCATAACGAGACCTTCGCCAGCCGCGTGGTGGTCCGCGAGAACTGCAGCTACACGGTGAGACCCCGCCCCCCGGGGGGCTGGACCGTCCCTCCCGCCCAGGGCCTTGTGGGTAAGATGTAGGAGGACCCCTTACACCTGCAGTTCAGACACACACCTGATACTTAGTTTTCTTTTAGTTTAAGTCGTCTCAAATACTGCTTGGGACGTTCATACTAAGACGTTCTTTGTTTCTCTGAGTTCAGATGTGACTGGGCGTCTTGCATTTTATTGGCTAAACCTAGCAACTCTGCCTCTCCCTCCCCTCTCTCTCCTTCCTTCCTTCTTTCCTTCGTGAAGCTCTGCCTCAGTTTCTTCATCTGCAAAATGGGGTTGATGATCATTCCTACCACCCAGGGTATGGCGAGGATTAAGTGAATTATCCACACCTCTTAGTGCCTGGCACGTGCTGCGTCCTGTGTGTGTTACCTTTGAATATGAGTAATGATAATTATGGTTCTCCAGTACATACTGACTGAGCACCTACCATGTGCCGGGGACCCCGCTGAGTGCCGGGCACCCCGGGGTGGAACAGTCTGCCTGACTGTTGCACTCACAGAGCTTCCATTCGAGTGGGAGATGCAGATGAAAAAACCACAAATCAGTGTATACTTACAACTTTGTCACAGGTGCTAAGAAGGGATCCAGGAGATGGAGTCACCTGAAATCAAAGGAGGACACTGTCTTAGGTAACAGTGTCTTAGGGCGTCTCTGACACTGAAGCTGAGACCTGAAGGCTGAGAGAGCTGGGAACAGAGTTCTGAGGGAGGGAACAGCATGTGTGAAGACCCTGAGGTGGCTGAACCGGGTCTGAGAATGGGGGCCACAAGGTCCTGCTGACCCTGGGGGCTGGAGCGAGGAGTCTGGAGGCATTGGCTGGGAGGGAACCCAGCTCTGCCACTTTCTTGCTGAGTGACGTTGGGCAAGTTGCTTCCCCTCTCTGGGACACTGTTCCATATCTGTGAAACGGGGATGTCAGCAGCACCTGCCTCATCGGGTGCTGGCCCGAGTACATGGGGTCATGTCGGTAAAGCCCCTTGGCCTGTGCTAGGTCCTCATCATGATAACTCCAGTATAGCAACCACGGCCCATTAGAGATGTTTCTCGTGTGTCTTCGCCCAGCCCCACCAGGGGGGGACCTTGCCTTGCTCATCTATCTGGTCCCCAGCACTTAGCATGGTGCCTCGTATACAGCAGGCATCCAGTAAATGCCCATCACTTTTTCTTTCCACACCTCCACCCCTTGGGGCCTCCTGGGAACCAGGCCCGGGATGTTTACCTTGCATGTAGTTTTTTGTAAATCCCTTTTAGTGTAGTGTCTCTCAGATCGAGTTCCGCCAGCAGCTGCATCAGCATCACCACAGCTGCTGGTGAAATGCAGATTCCCGGGCCCCAGCCTGGACCTGTTCCGCCCAGGCACCTGCATAGTTAATGGACTCCCTGGAATGCTTCTGCTCATGGAAGTTTGAGCGTCACTAAGCTTGGGTCTGCCTAGTGGCTCTGTCAGCAAAGTTTGTCTTTCCTTCCATATGTATAAGTATTTATTTACAATAAATATATATTATTATATATAAATACCTAATATATAGTAAATATTTAAAAAATATATATCTAGAATGTATAGTATTTATGTATAATTATATATTCTATTAATGTTACATGTTATATTAAATATATGCATATTATTTATATACATCATTATATGCATACAGTATCTTTTTTTTTTTTTGAGGAAGATTAGCTCTGAGCTAACATCTGCTGCCAATCCTCCTCTTTTTGCTGAGGAAGACTGGCCCTGAGCTAACATCCGTGCCCATCTTCCTCTACTTTATATGTGGGACGCCTACCACAGCATGGCTTGACAAGTGGTGGCATGTCCCCACGGGATCCGAACTGGCGAACCCTGCGCTGCCAAAGTGGAACGTGTGACCTTAACTGCTGCGCCACTGGGCCAGCCCCTACATATAATCTCTAAGGGACAGGAGCGCAGGGGTCAACCCCATTTCTCCTTGGAAGGAGCTCTGCTCTCTAACAATTAGCCTTTGTTCCCTCGCAGGGCCCCTTGGTACCACTGCCCCCTCGGGTGTGGCCGGGTGTGATGTGCTGTCCACTGCAGGCTCTGGCCGGGCCCAGGTCACAAGAGAGCCCCGGGGGAGGGCAGGACGTCCCCCACCCTGAGCCCATCTCGTTGCCCCTGCTGGCTCTCAGGTCCACCCCGAGAACGAAGACTGGACATGCTTTGAGCAGTCGGCCTCGCTCGACATCCGCTCCTTCTTTGGGTTTGAGAGCGCCTTGGAGAAGATCGCCATGAAGCAGTACACGGCCAACGTCAAGAGGGTGAGGGGCCGGCTCTGTCGGTCACGGAGGGGAAGGCGCACAAGCCTCAGAGCCCACCGGGCCCGGTTCAAGCCCCCTGACACCCCGTGTGACGTCGGCCTCAGTCTCTCCCTGTAGACCGAGGGCTCTAACGATGAGCATGTCACGTGAGATAATGGATGGAGAGCACCTGCCCTTCATGGGGGCCCCGTAATCCTTCTCTTGATGCTCCCGGGCTTGTGTGGTGATCTCTCTGGGCAGAGGAGGGACGTCGTGTGGTGCTTCTTTCTGTTTAAAGATCTCAGACCCATCCTTGAGTAGAGGCCTGTTCGTGTAGTGAAGCAGGCGACATTAATTTTGATCACATCTTTTATCCCACGTGCTGTCAGTATAGAGCTTCTCCATGAGCTGCGTTATGTTCTTTGTTTCGTACTAAGTCTTGGAAGTCGCTGTCTGTTTGACACTCGCACACGTCTCCATTCAGACCGGCCACATGTCAGCTGTTCGGCAGCCACGAGTCAGGGCTGGGACTGGAGCCGGGGCGGGGGGACGCCCAGGCTGGCATGGTTACCCCGCTGTCCTGCCCCGGCGCTGATGTGACACGGGTCTCCCTGTCTTCCAGGGGAAGGAGGTGATCGAGCATTACCTGCACGAGCTCGTCTCCCAGGGCATCTCTCACATCCCCCGGTGGACACCTGCCCCCGTCCGAGAGGAGGACGCTCGCGCCCAGGCTGGGCCCAGGGATCCCGGCTCCCTGGAGGTTGGTGGGCCCAGCAACCCCCCCACCCCCGCTCCGGAGACGGTCGGTCTGGACGGTAGGTCGCTGCGGCGGAGGCTGGCCTGGTCTGCGCCCTCGGGGCCCCCGCAGTCCTAGGAAGGCTGCATCGGGTCCGCTGGCTCCGTGGGGGGAGAGTTGCTGCAGGTCCCTTGGGGACGGGCATGGTCCTGGGAGGACTCGGCTTCCTCCCTCTCTACACTCGGGCCGAGAGCCGGAACTGGTTTATTTCTAGCTCAGGAATTGACCTGCTCTGGTGCCTCGGGGCTGCCCTTTCCTCTGGTTTTATTACTATTTTTAATGATATGAGTAATGCATGATCATGGCAGGAAAAAAAAATCAAACTGCTGGGAAGATGTGAAGTGGGAACTCAGACTCTTTCTTCTCCCTAGAGGCAGCAGTGGTCTTGTGTTTATATTTCCTGAAACTGTCCGGGCACGTATACGTACATAACACGTATGTGCACACTTATGTACATATGTGTGTACACACGTGTATAACTTACATTGAACGACTGAGAGCCTGTCGTACATCCTGATATTTTGCTTTTATTCACTTACTAATGTTGCTTGAACAGCTTTCTCTGTCGGTGTGTGTGTCTGACTACTTGGCAGTATTTCGTGGTGTGGTTGCTCTGTAACTTTTTATTTTTTATTTTGCTGAGGAAGATTCGCCCTAAGCTAACATCTGTGCCAATATTCCTCTATTTTGTTTGTGGGCCGCTGCCACAGCATGGCCACTGACGAGTGGGGTAGTTTCGTGCCCAGGAACTGAACCTGGGCTGCCAAAGTGGAGCATGCTGAACTTACCCACCAGGCCACGGGTCTGGCCCCTCCATAACTTTTTTATTAATAAACTTTTATTGATTATCCATCATTTTTAATTAGTTTATTTAGCTAGTCCCCTATTAAGGAATGTTTAGGTTGTTTCATTTTTTTTTAAATACAAAGAATGTGTTACATCTTTGTACTTAGGTTTTTAAAAAATATTTCTATGAGTATATATGTAGCATACAGTTTTAAAAGTGGAATTGCTGGGTCAATGGTTATATGCCACTAAAATTTTGGTAGATTTACCCATTAGGCCTGCAAAGAGGTTGTCCTAATCAATGTTCCCCCAAAAGGGTGTGGCTGTGTCTGTTCCTGACTTTACCCTGGCTCCCCACGACATTCTTATTAAACATTTCAAACTTTGGAAAGGCAAAGAGTGACCACTGGGAGATGAGCGATCACGTCTTTCCTTAGGAGTGAGGTCAAGTACTATTTTTTCATATTTAGTGACTCTTTTCCTTTGTGAATCCCTGTTCTTATTCTTTGTCCATTTTTCTGTTTACCCATCTATTTCTTATTGGTTTGTGAGAGCTCTTTGCATATTAAGGCAATGAGCCCTTTGGCATATTTCAGACTTATACTGACATGGAAAACGTTCATGATATGCTATTAGAGAAAAAAAAACCTAGGATACAAAACTGCACGTACCCCATGAATTCGGTTTTAACCATGTGTACTTGCACTCACAATGATTCAGTATTCCCTTTGGGGTCACTGAAGTGTAAGGGTTTGCCCAACTTGGAGATATGCCATGTAACCAAAAATACATCGGGGACAGGGTTTAGGGAGAACAAAATTCATTTGTTCAACAAATATTTATTCTGCACCCACTGTGTGTACTAGCTGGCTACTGTTTTATGTGCACTTTAAAATAGTAAAAAAATTAAAACTTCTTCTGCCTCTTCCTGTGCACACACTCGGCGGGTCATGCCCTGTGCCTCATTTTGCACCAGGCCTTTCCTTCCTTCTCCGTCTGGGCTGTCCAACAGCAGGGCTGGTACTCAGGATGGCTGGCGGGAGGCACAGTCATGCCCCTTCCTCTCGGTTCTGAATCACTGAGCCTTTGTGCTCGGAAGGAGAAAGGGGCCTTCAGAACCGCCTGGAGGCCGGAAGGATACTGGTCTCTCCTGCCTCCCTCGTGGTCTCTCCCTCCTCCCCTCCTCGCCCCTTCCCTGTCTTCAGCATCTCCCCTTCTGACCACTCAGAGCTGTTGCAGCGTCTGGACAGTCCTCCCACAGCATTCCTCCAGCCTCTGTTTACCCAGATGCCTCCTGGCACAGTTCCCGTGACCACCAGCCCTGGGCTTTTTTTTTTTTTTGAGGGAACCACTGGGTCTTGCTGCTGGATGTGCAGACATTTCATCCGCTTTCTTATTGTGCCATCTGCACACAAGGGATGGGCTATGCCCATGGGGGCTGTTTTTTGTGGAACGTCTCCACCCACTGCCCAGAGGCCCCACCTTGCCAGCACCGGCCCCCTGCGACAGCTAAGAGTGGGCAGCAGGACCCCAGGTTGGAGCCTAGTCTCTAAATGGCGGCGCATGCTGACCCCAGACAGCCACATTGTGTGAGAGGGCATTGAAGGGTGGGAGCGATCCGTGCAGCTCCCGGGCTGTATTTTGGGTCCGGGCTCTATCTCCCAAAAGCCTCACACCTCACGAGGAGACTGGGGAGGCGGGAGGGCAAGAGGAGCTGGTATTTACTGGCCACCTCCTCTGTGCTGGGCACACAGCATGCATTTACTTGCTTGAGTTACTTAACCTGTCCCGGCCTCAGTTCTGTCTTCTCTAAAGTGGGAACAGTAGGGACGTCCGCCTCACAGGGGTGTTGGTAGGACTCACAGAGACCAAGCCTGTCAGTGGACGTGAGCTCATATTGCTAATAATCTTCAGAGGGGGGACAGCTCCAGAGGGCACAAATTATCTTGATTTCCGAGGGTGAGCGGGGGACAGATCACCTGCCACAGTGAATCCAGGCTTGCCCCAGCACAAGATTTCAGAACCACCTTAGAAACAGGTTGGAAAGAAAGACCAGAGGACGTGGCGCCCACGCAGATGCTGTTTTGGTGAAAGGGCCACTGTGTCACTTGGAAGTCCGTCTCAGATCCGAGGCAGCCAGGAAGGCAAGGGTTCCAGAAAGGTGGACCACGTGGTGAAGAGAGGCGGCATCTCTTGTCCTGCACGCCCTTCCTCTCCTCCAGGGGACAAGCTGGACGCGGACTACATCGAGAGGCGCCTGGGCCACCTCACGCCTGTGCAGGAGAGCTGCCTGATCCAGCTTCGCCAGTGGCTGCAGGAGAACCACAAAGGCAAGGTGGGTGCTGGGCTGGGGCTAGAGGAGCAGATACACGTTGAGTGATGGCTGCCAGCCTCCGGCGCTGGGGGAGGGGGCTGAGGAGATAGGTTTGTGTAATTAGCAACGCTGGTTACCTCCCTTTGATTCTTCTCTGTCTCATGTAGACACGACACCTGCTGTGTGTCCGGCTGCCTGCAGGGTGCTCGTCCTCGCACTGCTGACATTTGAGGCCGTCCTGTCCTGACATTTATTGTGGGGGCCGTCCTGTGCTCTGTAGGGTCGAACAGCCTCCCCAGCCTCCACCCGCTAGATGCCAGGAGCTCTTCTCCTGCAATCGTGACAACCAAAAATGGCTCCAGACATCGCAACTGTCCCCTGGGGGGGCACAGTCACCCCCAGTTGAGAACCACCCCTGTACACCCACGTTCACAAAACCATGTATCCTGTTCTTTTCTAAGAGATTTAAAGACTCGCGGGGGTTGATTTTAGGCAGCATGTGGATTTTGCCTTTAGACTCTAAGCCCCACAACAGGAACGGCCACCGTGCACGGAGGGTCCCAAGCACGGACCTGACCGTCGGCTCTGTTGAATACGAGCGTGCAGCTTAGTCGTGAGTTGCTTGCTCTTCCTCCCCAGGCCCCCTCCCTGCGTTGGGGGCAGACGAGGGGGGCAGTGATGTGACCTGCCTGCTCCTGGGTCCTCGTCAGTAAGATGGGGTGACGTTAGCATACACCTGCTAGCGCCCATTCCAAGGGATGATGGATGAGAAGTGCTTAGAGCGAGCCTGGCTCAGAAGAGCACTCCGCAAAGGGGAGCCTTTCTGGGGGCTGGCTCTCCCTTGACTGTTGATTTTTGCCTGACGGAAGGAAGGGGAGTTGGCGCGGTCCAAGCCTGTAATCGCAGCGTGTTCACTAGACTCTTGGGGTTAAAGGTGGTAGGAATGCAGCCTGAATCAACAAAGCAAAAAAATGAGGGGGAGATTTATTGGCTCCTACAACAACCTGTTAAGAGGGTGTGTTGGTTTCCTAGAGCTGTTGAAACAAAATGCTGCAAACCATGTGGCTTAAAACAACAGAACCTTATTCTCACACTGGAGGCCGGAATCTGCAGTGAGGGTGTCCGCAGGGCTGGGTCCTCCCGGACGGAGGCTCTGAGGGAGGGTCCCTCCCATGCCTCTCTCCTCGCTTCTGGCGGCTCCTGGCAGTCCTTGGCTTGTGGACGCATCACTCCAGTCTCCGCCTCCGTCTTCACACGGCCTCCTTCCCTCTGTCTGTTCTGTGTCTGTGTCCACATTTCCTCTTCTAATAAGGACGCCAGACGTTGGAGTCGGGCCCACCCGGATCCAGTATGACCTCATCTTAACTAATTACCTCTGCAAAGACCCTGCTTGCAAATGAGGTTGCATTGTGACGTTCTGGGTGGGCATGAATTTTGGGGGGACACCATCCAGCCCAGCACAGGGGGCCGTGCAGCCTGTCTCAGGGATGTCCTGAACGAGGACTTAAATGCTGTCGGGAGCCCTTAGCTCTCGTGTCTGTTATTTCGGCTTCGTTCCCGCAGACACAGTGTCTTGTTGAGCTTGGAGCTGGGGCTGCCACCCCTCGGCCCCCGCAGAGAAAGGGGCTCCTGTCTCTTTCTTCTGATTTAAAACTGTCTCAGTGCTCCGATGGGCCCGGCGTGGTTGTGTCCACCCCCGACGCCTTGGGAGTGGAGTTCTGTGATTGGCTGCGCCGACTGAAACCACGATTGCAGTGGGGGACTCTGGTGCGGGGGAGACGGTTCCCTAAAAGAAAAGAGATGCTGTTGCCAGCGTGAGGATGGAGGAAGGTTGGCGGCCAAAACTCACAGATACTACAGTCCCCCCTTTGACTGTGTTGTGGGTGAGCGTGTGGTCCTTTTCCCAGCCAAACATTTTGCAGATAAGACAGGAGACTCATTCTCCACGATTTTACCTGCCGCGTTAGGGAATACCACGCCATGCGCTTTCTCCTTCTTCTCTCAGATCCCCAAAGACCAGCACATCCTTCGGTTCCTGCGGGCTCGTGACTTCCACCTGGACAAGGCCCGGGAGATGCTGTGTCAGTCCTTGAGCTGGCGGAAGCAGCACCAGGTGGATCTTCTTTGCCAGACCTGGCGGCCCCCCGCCGTCCTGGAGGAGTTCTATGCGGGCGGCTGGCACTACCAGGACGTAGGTGCGTTGCTTTACCTGTGTCGTGTACAGTGCACCCTTCGGTCATGGCCGAATGCCGCTTTTCATGCTAGCATCTTATTTTCCTTTTGATCCTTCCGGGCATCTGGAAATGCCTTTGAGATGACAACCCAGCCATGAAGAAGGCAGAGCTGGAATAGACTTGTGGGTCTGAGGCGAGACATTTCTCCGTGGGGCTGGGTTAGCCTACCAATACTTTTGTTTTCTTTTTTTTCGGTGAGGAAGAGTCACTCTGAGCTAACATCCGTTGCCAATCTTCCTCTTTTTTTTTTTTTTTTTTTGGTTGAGGAAGATTAGCCCTGAGCCAGCCTTCCTCCACTTTGTACGTGCATGCCTCCAAAACATGGCTGAGGAGTGGAGTAGGTCTGCGCCCAGGGTTCCGAACAGGCAAACCCAGACCTCTGAAGTGGAGCACGAGCAACTTTAACCACCGTGCCACGGGGCCGGCCCCGAACCCACCATTACTGTTGATCTTTGGGATCCTACACATAACGGCTACATGAATACTGCATTTGTGTCCTGGGGCTGCCATCGCAAATGACCACAAACGGGCTGGCTTAAAGCAACGGGAATTTATTCTCTCACTGTTCTGGGGCTAGAAGTCCAAAATCAAGGTGTCAGCAGGGCCGTGCTCCCTCTGAAGGCTGCAGGGGAGAGCGCTTCCTGCCTTTTCCAGCCTCTGGTGGCCCCAGGGGTTCCTTGGCTTGTGGCCGTGTCACCCCAATCTCTCCCGCGTATCTCTCTGTCTCCCTAAAAACCCCCAGGTCATTGGATGTAGGGCCCACACTGATGCAGTGCGATTTTGTCTCGAGTTACATCTGCAAAGACCCTTTTTCCAAGTAAGGTCACATTCAGAGGTTCTGGGTGGACATGAAATTTTGGGGACACTCTTCAACCCACTACAAATACCGTCTCTGGATTTTTTAGTAAACTGCCATTGAAGCCAGTGCCCATTATGCTTTTCAATGTCCTTTATGTAAAAATTCATCTATATTGATTAAGGCCAGTGCCTGACTCTCCCGAAGGACTGGTTGGCACCCTTTCTGTTAGTATACCCTCGATCCTCATTTTCGTGGATGCATATTTGTGAATTTGCCTACTCACCAACATTTATTTTTAACCCCAAAATCAATACTCAGGGCACCTTCGGGGTCACTCACGGATGTGGGCAGAGTGGTGGAAACTCTGAGTCACCCGACCTGCGTGCCCCCATCTGACTGAACAAGCCATCCCCCATCTCTCATCCTGTAAACCAGTGTCCTTGTTGCCGTCTCTTTAGCGCCACATTTTTTGGGGTGATTTTGCTCTTAAAAATGGCCCCCCAGCAAAGTCCAGAAGCACTCTCTAGCATTCCTAAGCTCGAGAAGGCCATGATGTGACTCACGGAGAAAATATGTGAGTTAGAAAAGCCCCATTGAGGGGCTGGCCCAGTGGTGCAGCGGTTAAGTTCACACGTTCCGCTTCGGCGGCCTGGAGTTCGCTGGTTCGGATCCCGGGTGTGGACATGGCACCGCTTGGTAAGCCATGCTGTGGCAGGCATCCCACATATAAAGTAGAGGGAGATGGGCACGGATCTTAGCTCAGGGCCAGTCTTCCTCAGCAAAAAGAGGATTGTCAGCAAATGTTAGCTCAGGGCTAATCTTCCTCAAAAAAAAAAAAAAAAACCAGAAAAGAAAAACCCCATTCAGGTATGAGTTGTGCTGCTGGCCATGAGTTCAATGTTAAGGAATTGACAATATATATGAAATAAAGTGTCTTTGAATAGAAACACACACAAAATCAGGTTATGTATTGATGGGGTGACAAACACGTTAGGACCAGAGGCACGCAGACCCTAACCCCGTATTTCCCCTAGAAGCCGTGGTTCCGTATTCGAGGTGACTTTACAGAACGTCACTACCTTGAATAACAAGAATCAGCTCTCTTAGGGTATCGTTCTTTCTGTTTCCTTCTTGGTCCTCTCTTTGCCTGGCCCCGCCCACCAAGACGGCCGCCCCCTGTACATCCTGCGTCTGGGCCACATGGACACCAAAGGCTTGATGAAGGCCGTGGGGGAGGAGGCGCTGCTGTGGCACGTGAGTGGCCACGTCCCCACCTCCGGGAGGTCCTGTGGCTGCCGGCGGCCGGAGCCGCCACATGCAGGTGTTCCAGCACATTCTCTGCCTTCCAGGTTCTCTCTGTCAACGAGGAAGGACAGAAGAGGTGTGAAGGGAACACGAAACAGTTTGGCCGTCCCATCAGGCAAGAACCCAGCCGGGAACACATTCCCCCGAAATAGCAAACACAGCCGAGGTCCGCTGAGCGTGGACGCCGTGCCAGGCACTTCCCAGCAATGTCCTCACTTAATTCTTACAATGCTCCCGTGAGGCAGGGACTGATAGCGTCTTGGTTCTTTATGGGGGGGAAATAGGCTCAGAGGATCAATGCTCGTCCGGGGTCGCTAAGTGGGCAGGCGGTCGAGCTGGGACTTGACTCTGTTCCTGTCCGGCTTCTGCTCGAGGACTTTATCTGCCGGGCTGTAACTCAGCCTCCTGGACTCGGGACCAGGTGTCCCAGCTCAGGTTCCACCTTGACTCCGTCTCCCGGGCGGGTGGACTTGCAGGTGTCACGGCACCTCCAGTAACCCACCGTCCCTCTCTGACTTGCCCCGACTTCTCTTCCTGAACTGAGTTTCCCGCTTAACCTTTCTGAGCTGCAGCGTCCTCGTCTGTAAAGCAGGACTAACAGCCCTCGTCCTCGGGGGTCTTTCTGCATGATCAAAGACACAACTGTGACGAGGTGATGCAAACGCACACGTAGCACTAGGCGGGTGGCAGGTCTTCTTCGAAGCAGCTTGATTCCCATCGTCCTTATTTCAGCCCTGGGAGGGAGGGGCGGGCAGGACCTGCTGCTGAAGCGTTTTATCCTGAAATATCCTCATCTTGGTGAAAATGAACGTTTTTTGCTGTTTGGAGCTCTCCTAAGGGCATGTATCTTGGGGTAGCAGTGGCGAATTGAGCAGCCAGGGTCCTGGCCGGAAGTGGAATTCACCCTAGATAGCTCAGATGACAGGGTGTCACAAAGGAATGCCTTGCAGAGGTGCGGGTGGGGTGAAGAGAACAGAGCCAGGACGTAGAGGCTCCCAGGGACTATCCGCTGCAGGAAAATGGTTATTTTCCAAATGAGTTAGTACTGATGAAACAGAGGCACAGAGAGGTTAAGTAACTTGGCCAAGGTCACAAACTGAGCAGCAGAGCTGGGATCTGAACCCGGGCCGTCTGGCTCTGGAGTGTGTACTCATGGCACTTGTGTTCTCTCTATTTATCTGTCAGCATCTTTTCAACATTGCTGGTAATAGCTGGCTTTTCTTGAGCACGTGCTATGTGCTGTCCTTGCAGAGAGCTTTACGTATATCATCTCCCTGCCACGTGGCCTCCCGTGGGGACAGGATCCACGAGAGTGTCCAGGGGCCCCTGCCCCTTCTGCTCCCGCCCCTGCCTTTCTGAGTCTTTCTGTCCATCCCTGTCTGTCGGCCCCGGGGTCCCTGAGGAGGGTGTCGGAGGCCCCGGGAGGTGGCAGAACGAGGTGGAGCAAGGGGCCCGTCTCTGCCGCAGCTCCTGGACCTGCCTGGTGGACCTGGAGGGTCTCAACATGCGGCACCTGTGGCGGCCGGGGGTGAAGGCCCTGCTGCAGATGATCGAGGTGGTCGAGGCCAACTACCCCGAGACCCTGGGCCGGCTGCTCATCGTGCGCGCCCCCCGTGTCTTCCCTGTGCTCTGGACGCTGGTAAGAGCGGGAACCTGCACCAGGCCCCGCCCCGTGCCCCACGGAGGCCGAGATGGGGCTTCCCTCTGTGAGCTGCCCACTTGTCCCTTCTCATTTCTTCTAAATAATAGCTTTAAGGTATGACTCATTTCCCATAAAGTTCACCCTTTTAAAGTGTAGTTTTTAGTATATTCACAGAGTCGTGCAACCGTCACCACCATCCAATTCCAGAACATTTGGATCACCCCAAAAAGGAAACCCCGTACCCCTCAGCAGTCACTCTGCATTCCTCCCCCGGCCCCTGGCAGCCGTTACTCTACTTCCCGTCTCTATGGATTTGCCTGTTCTAGATATTTCCTGTAAATGCAATCACAGGACTTGAAGCTTTTGGTGTCTGATTTCTCTCACTGAGCACAGTGATTTTGGTTTCATCCATGTTGCAGTGGGAATCCGTCCTTCATTCCTTTTTATGGCTGAATAATATTCCATCATTTCACGTATCCATCGCCCAGCTTTGTGGACATGAGAGTCATACTCAGGATTGGGCGGTGACCCTGGGGCTCCAGTGAGCTGGTTCCGAGCTGCGTTGGGACCGGTCTATAGGAATTTAAAAACTTTTTGCTCCACGACCCACAGTAAGAAATAAGCTTTATGTTGCAACCCGGCATGTGTGTGGGTACAGACACACACACACACACACACAAATAGTCTAGGCCACTGACGTGTGGTCCCCAGGCCAGTGCTGCGGGTCAGGCCTCTCTCAGCCCTGCAGACTCAGCGGCAGCATCTGACCGAGCGCCCCCAGGGATCCAGGGCCCAGGAAACTGAGCAGTCACGCTGTCAGTAGTGGATCAATCAGGATCGAGATTCCAGAGTTGAGAGTTAAGTGGATGCAGTGTTTTAGTAAGCACCTACTATGTGCCGGGTACCTTTCCAGGCCCTGGGCATTCGGGGTGAACAGGCCAGCCACCGTCTCCCCCACTGTCATCGGGGGGAGAGAGAGCAGACAGCCCCCCACCAGTAAAAGTGTCACAGTTCCCTGTGACGAGGGCGTGAGGACCTTCAGGGTCCTTGGAGAGACTAAGCCAGGCAGAGGGTGACTCGGGGGTGATTTAGGTCGGGGAAGGTCCCCTTGAGGAGGTGACAAGTGGCTGAGACCTCAGGAAGGAGCAGGAGTCGAGCAGGGAAGTGCAGGAGGAGGACAACCCGCACAGCACGGCCAGGGCCTGGAGGTGCCTGACGCCCTGGAGGAACTGGGAAACCAGTGCAGGGGGCTGGAGCGAGGAGGAGCCAGAGGCCGCGGCCCCGGGGGAGGCTGGGAAGATGCTCAGGGTCCGGCGCTGATGGGACCTTGTCCCGGGGCAGCAGGGAGCCACGGGCGGGTTGTCAGCAGAAGAGGATGTGAGCCGACTTCCGAGGCGGAAAGTTCTCTGGCTTCTGTGGCTACATCAAGGGGCTGGGGAGCAGGAGCTTGGGGGATGGGGTGGGGACAAGCAGGACCTGCTACTGCAGCTTTTTACCCCAAAATATCCTGATCTTTGTGAAAATTAAGTTCCTTCGCTGTATAGAGCTCTCCTAAGATGGTGTGCATTGGGTGGGGGTGGGAGCCGATCAGCTGGGGTCCTGGCCGGACGCGGGATTCACCCAAATGGCTCAGACGGGGTGTGACATGAATGGACTCCTTGCAGAGGTGTGAGCAGATGGAGAGGCTGTCAGGGACTAGCCGTTAGTAAGCGCAGACCACCCCAGGGCAGGAGGGACCAGAGGAGTATGGCCTTGCTGGTGTAGCCCCCTGAGAGCTGGAATGGGGGCGGGTGGCGGGGCTGCCCGTGCGAGCTGTGCCTTCTGGGCGGCACTGAGGTGGGCAGGGAGTGGCGAGAAATACCCTGGCCACTCTCTGTTGCCACCTCCCGTCTCCTGCTGCTGCCCTCCCATTGGCCACACCAGGTGGACACCAGCAGCATGGAGCAGGGGACCACTGTGGGCCCAGGGTGGGGGCTGAAGGATTCCCAGTTCCTGACCCATGTTTGGCCTGTGGCATTCCCCGCTGGATTGGCTTGTGCCCTGCCATGCTAAAGGCCTCAGTCCTTCCTTCCTTCCCCAACTACGTATTGAGTCAGACAGCACGCCAGCATCAGGGGTGCCATGAAAAACAGATCAACAAGCAGCTTAGAGCTTGGCATTAAAATAACTTTCCATCTGTAACAAACAAAACATGGACTAGGGGCTGGCCCAGTGGTGTAGTGGTTAAGTTCATGCATTCTGCATTGGTAGCCCAGGGTTCGTGGGTTTGGATCTGGGGTGTGGACGTGCAGGCCACTCATCAAGCCATGCTGTGGCAGCGTCCCATATATAAAATAAAGGAAGATTGGCACAGATGTTAACTCAGCGACAATCTTCTCTATCAAAAAAAAAAGAGATCTTTCTGTACAATGGAAGATAACTCAGCCATGAAAAGGAATGAAGCACTGACCCCTGCTACAACACTGATGAACCTTGAAAACATTGTAAGTGAAAGAAGCCAGACACGAAAGACCACGTGTCATAGTATCCCATTTCTATGAAATATCCAGAATAGGCAAATCTATAGGGACAGAAAGCAGATTGGTGGTTTCCGGCGGCTGCGGGAGAGGGGGAGGCGAATGACCGCTAATGGGTACCGGGTTTCGTTTTGGGGTGATGGAAATGTCTCGGAATTACGTGGAGGGGATGGTTTCACAACATGGTGAATGAACTAAAAGCCACTGATCGTCCACTTTGAAACGGTTCATTCTACGTTATGCGAATTAGACCTCAATAGAAAGAGCTTCCGTCTCGCCTCCTCTCCCCCACTTCAGATCAGCCCCTTCATCAACGAGAACACCAGGCAGAAGTTCCTCATCTACAGCGGCAGCAACTACCAGGGCCCGGGCGGCCTGGTGGACTACCTGGAGGAGGAAGTCATCCCCGACTTCCTGGGCGGGGAGTGCCTGGTGAGGCCCAGCCGGGCGCCTGGGCTCTGGAACGGGGACTGCCTGTGGATGCCGGGGTGGGGCTGGGAGGGGGGACCGTCTGTGAAGTCCGGGGTGGGGCTGGGGGCGCCCTTGGTGGGTGACCTGGGCGGGGTTGGGAGGTCCACCCGTGCATGGTTGGGGCGGGGATGCCGGGCGGAAGGAGGCTGGAGCGGGCAGGCCGTCGTGTGTGGTGCGAGCTCGTACCTGGGGGGTCCTGTGGCTCCTTGGGGGCAGCGCTTGTTTTAGAAGCTGCCCCAAGGAGAGACGACTTCTCTCTGAAGGAGGGACCTTACCTTGGTTCTTTCAAACTTAGTGAGCAAGAGGGAAGTTTCTGGAAGCCCAGGGACCAGGCCAGTCAAATGCTTACCCCTCCGTGGTCCCCATCCAAGACGTTGCCGGCAGCAGTAAGCGTTCACCTGCTGGCTTTGCTTGCTCTGCTGCAGGAGGCGGGGTCTGGAACGTCCCTGTGTCCTGCACCCGGGAGCTGGTACCCAAAGGATGTTTCCTAGGAATTTTGCCAGGCTTGCCCATTCTCTCCAGTTGTTGTGATACATAAACATGTCTTATGCATGGTTTGTATTTAGTAAATGGGCCTGCAGGGGAGTCCGGGGTCTCAGTCCGGGGTGTCTGAGAGTGACTTATTGAAGGACAGTGACAGTGACCTCACTCTGTTGATATTAGTATTTTTGCAAATGAAACGAGGGGGCAAAATTCATCGTTTGACTCAGCCACTTTCTGCTGTGTGATCTCTGGCAAGTGGCCTGACCTCTCTGAACCTCCATCTTCCTCCTCTGTGAAATGGGAGGAATAATAGTTCCTACTGCATTGGTGGTTGTGGGGGTTAAATGGGGTCACAGAGCACCCTTCTGTGGGTCAGCGGGGCCTGGCTGGGCCCTGACCTGCCGCCTTTGTCTTTTGTTTCCCAGTGTAATGTCCCTGAAGGAGGACTGGTCCCCAAGTCCCTCTATCTGACGGATGAGGCGCAGGAGCACGCGGACCAGCTGCGGCAGTGGAGAGACACCTACCAGTCGGCCAGCGTGCTCCGCGGGGCCCCCCATGAGGTGCTGGGGTCCTGGGAGGGCCGGCTGGGCTGGGTGCTGTCTTAGGTCAGTGTCCCCCGAAGCAGAGCCTGAAGCAAGGGTTCTTGTGGCAATGATTTGTTGAAGGCGAGCTCTCGGGGCCCTGCAGGATGGGCTGGGTCTCATACCCTCACATCAGCAGGTCGTTGGCTGTGGGTCACCCCCCACAGCAGGGTGGAACCTCCCAGGTGTGGCACAGAGCGGGGGTCCCTTTGCCCAGAGCAGTTCTTGGACCCGGGCCTGAGCAGCCATCCGCCCTGCAGTGGGGAACGGAGACCCCGGGGGGCACCCACAGCACCTCCTGCCGCCGATGTCTCCATCCCAGCTCCCCGTCCCGCCGGGACTCCAGACTGGATTCTCAGACCTCGCCTGTCCCCTCGCAGGTCGAGGTGGAGATTCTGGAGGGGGAGTCGGTCATCACCTGGGACTTCGACATCCTACGAGGGGACGTGGTGTTCAGCCTGTACTACACCAAGCGAGCAGCCAGGCCGGGCCCCCGGGAGCCGGGAGCCAGGGCCGGCGGGCAGCTGACGGACAAAGGCTGGGTCCTGGGCTCAGAGTACAGCCGCGTGGAGGCTCCCCTCGTCTGCCGGGAAGGGGAGAGCATCCAGGTTTGCGTTCTTGGGTTCATTTATTCATTCATCACGCAGGGCTGAGCATCTCCCGTGTGCCAGGGTTCTGGGGGCACAGCAGTGGACAGACTGGATCTGGTCCTTGGCCTCAGGGACCGTACGGGACAGTGGGGGAGAAAGATCCTGGCAGATCCAGGAGCCTGGGGAACCCCAGGACCCCAGCCTCAGAATGCCCTGGGACTCTTGTAAAGATGCAGGTTGCCAGGCGGGCTCGCTCAGGCGCTCTGGGCAGGGGGCCTGGAGTCCGCGTCCCTTGCCCTCCCCAGCTGCTTTCTGGTGCGCACTCAAGTGTCAGAAGGCACGCAACAGAGAAGCTGTGGGGCTGGGAACAGGACTCGGCCGTGTCACTGGAACATGAGCCGCCCCTGGCGACCCCACGTTCTCCACGAGGCAGTGTTTGCAGGTCAAACATCACCGACCCCAAACACACGCTCACACGCACACACACACTAACACTCACACGTGCACTGGCGAGCACTGCAGGTCTCACGGACAGTTCCGTGGGAGTGAGCAGAGGGCCGTCTTGCACATGGCACACCGGCATCTCCCCCCCGGGACCCCCCTGAACATCCCAGCCCTTCCCTGCAGTTGCTCTTCCTGTAACAGCTAACGCCCCCTTTCTCGCTGCCCCTCGGCCCTCGACACACGCCCGCCGCCTGCCAGCTCCCTGCCCAGATGCCTCTCCACCTGCCTCCATCTGCAGAGTCTGCTCAGCAGAACGAAACTCAACAAAATCCAGGCGTTTAACCAGACCATGCCTCTGTTGTCCCGCAAACCCCAACCCCAGGCCTCCACTGCCCCAGACCCAGAGCGGGGCCCTCAGCGGCCAGGGCTGTGGGGTAGCAGTGGAGGGGGACAAGGATGACTCCGGGAGGCCCCTAGAGGGAGGAGTTGCTGGTGGAGTGGTTTAGCGGGCACTCGCTCCCCAGGAGGACCGGGGCCTCAGGCCTGGCTGCTGTGTCTCAGGGCTCCCATGTGACCCGGTGGCCCGGAGTCTACTTGCTCCAGTGGCAAATGCACGGCCCCCCCAGCCACGTGGCCTGCAGCCTCCCGGGCATGGAGGACGTCTTGACGGCTCTGCACAGCCCCGGCGCCAGGTGCAAACTACTCTACTACTACGAGGTGCTGGCTTCCGAAGACTTCAGGTACGAGAGGCCGGGAGAGGACCTGGCACCAGGGACCCCCGGACTCCCCTCCAGGCCAGGCCCGGGCCCTGAGGTCCCTCCTAGAATTCCATAAAACAGAGTTTGGACTCTTCTAGAACATTCTAGAATAGTGCCTCACAGACAACTCTCCCCAAGTGTTGCTTTCAGAGAGACAGGGCAGTGTAGTGGTTAAGACCTCTGGCACTTCCTGGTTGCTGTGTGACCTTGGGCAAGTCACTTCCCCTCTCTGAGCCTCAGGATCCCCCTCTGTTAATTGGGGTCCACTGGAGCCCCTACGTCGTGGGGTCATCAGGAGGATGAGATGGTTGGGGGAAGCCTGCCCTTCCGCTGGGCACACTGTAAGCGCTTGACGGCAGAAATGCAGCAGAGGGTGAGGAGCTGGACAGGCAATTTCTTCCAGACCTCAAGTTTTATCTTTTAGAAATGAATGTGATTTCGCATCCTGCTTCGTGACGTACTATGTTGGTTTCCTTCTAAAAATAACACTTTAAGTTCTTTACCACCATGTAAAATTGAGGTTCCAGGAGGGTGTCACATCTGGACCCACGTCAGGGATCCTGGGGGCCCGTGCAGGCCAGCACTAGAAATACGGGGCCAGCATCTTTACTCCAAAGAGAGACCCGCAGAGTGTCGGGGGGCTGGCATCCCCTCTTTGGGAAGCAGCCTGTTTTTGGGGGAGAGAGACTAAGGCAGAGGGACCCAGAGCTGTGGACGTGGGCATCGGGGGGCGGCTGCCTCTGGGAGGAAGGGTGGAGGCTGGCGATGGGCCGGATGCTGCTTGCCGCTCTGTCTGGCCGCGTCAGTGTGGGGAATCCTGCCGCCCTGCCCTGCAACAGCCTCACGAGAGGACCAGTTCGAGGGCTGTGGCCTGGCCGCCCTCAGTGGGCAGGTGCTGGGCTGGGCCCTGGGGGGGAACTGGATGGACACGGTCTGCCATCATGGAGCCACAGAACCACAGCTGTGTCATCAGGAGCAGTGATGGAGGCCGTGGGGGTATGTCCAGCCTGGGGTCCCTGCCTGAGGTCACACAGCCAGGAGGTGCTGGCGATATTCACACAGGGCGCTGTCAGAGCCCAGAACGCGGGGCCCGGCACAGGGCGGTGGGGGGTGTGGAGATGGTGTCTGGGAGGTGATGTGGGAGTTGAGACCTAGGTGGTGTGCGCCCAGGTCACCTGGGGGTCTCTTAGAAAGGCAGACTGTCTCCAGCCCTGGGGCCGCCGAGCGTCTGCCCCTGTAACGAGCTCCCGGCGCTGCTGGGGTTCCAGCCACACTCTGAGTGGCCAGGCCCTAAAGCTACACGGTCCAACCCAGGACACTGGCCACGTGAGGCCATTTCAACCTGCCAATTACAATTAAATAAAAGTGAAGATTCAGTTCCTCAGTGCACCAGCCACGTTTCCCGCACTCGGTAGCTCTGCGTGGCCCATGGCTGCTGCGTCCTACGATGTGGACCTAGAACATGTCTGTCATCACAGAGGGGTCCCCGGAACGGTGCAGCTCTGAAGTTTGCAGTGGGGGCTGACTAGACAGAGCAGGCAGGAGAGAAAGAGGCTTCTGACGGCAGGTGCAGACATGCAAAGGTCCCACGCAGGGGAGGCGGGTGCCAGAGGAGCTGACAGGGGCTGGGGGACAAGGCTGGAGATGGGGCGCCCTCTGCGCTGGGCTCGGCCCCCAGGTCGGGGAGGCCCCTGAATGGTTTGTGGCAGGCTGGGCTCTGTGCTTGGGGTTTGGGGGTGCAGGAAATGGCTTCACTTCTCATCGTGGCTTCACTTGCTTTTGCCCCTGCGCCCTGGGGCAGTTCCCCTCCCTAGGGACGGAGCCCTGGGGCCTCGTGTGCAGCATCAGCAGATTTTCTGCTGCTCCGTGTGGGCCCCGGGGCTGTGTCGGACCAGAAGGTGACGCGTGTGTGGCGCCCTTCTTCCCCAGGGGCTCCATGTCCAGCCTGGCATCCTGCACCAGCCGCTTCTCCCAGCTCAGCGCCGCCACCTCCTCCTCCTCGTCGGGCCAGTCTCACAGCGGCTCCCTGGTCTCCAGATAGCCGGGACCAAGCCCTGTGGGCAGCCCGCTTGCCTCCCGCGCCTGCAGATACCCAGAACCAGAGGCCGGCTTGCCGCGGGGACTGGGACCACATGGCTGCAGCCTGGTCCGGACGCTGCCAAAGTCGGGGTGTCTGGAGCCGACGGCAATGATCCAGCTTGTGGACTCTTGAGGTTGCAAGGACAGGGCCATCTGCTTTAGGGGTGGACCGACCACCTTCTGGTCTTCCAGATCAGGGGGCTCAGGGATGTCACCAGCTCAGCGCCTCCTCCACCTCTGGCTCTGCTGTCCCTGGGGTGGCCTCCTTCTCAGGTGCCTTCGCCACACAGGGGACCCCATCACCATTAGGCTGCCTCCCACCCTTCCCCAAGCTTGGCTAGAAGGAAACGTCTCTCCCCCAAAGTTCCATCCAACATTCCAGGATTGAGTCTATCAGCCTGCTTGGGTCCCGCTCCATCCCTGAACCAGTCAAGGTTGCTAGGGGAACTGGAGAACAGTGATTAGCCAATCGTGGTTGCCAGGCGAACGGAGAACACTGATTGGCCAACAGGGCCCTGTGTTCAGTCTGGACCAGTCACTGTGCAGGGATGGGGATGCAGTAATTGGCCAGCCTGGATCACGTGCTTGTTCCTGGAGCCAATCTCCTGGTCTGAAAAGCACAAGGGAGGTGCCTCTAGGAATACTGGGGTCCCCCCAGAAGAAGGGGGAAAGGAGGCTGAGCAGGCAGAAATGATCCATGCTCAGCATGGCATCTGATCCCATAGGGATGCCCTGTGTCCCAGCATGTGCACGGTGAGTAGTTATATCACCTATAGGCTCCGCTTTCTGTGGGGAGCAGCCCATCCTGGACTTGAAATCCATTTTCCCAGTGCTTGGCTGCAAAGGCCCAGGATTTCTGCTAAGTTCCAGGCAGCAATATGGTAGTTCTGACTGTCTTTATACTCTGTGGAGGTCGCTGTCTCTCCTGGGAGCTGTTTAATTATGTCTTCTTGTGGTTGTAAGTCACAGAGACCCACACAAAAGGCTAACCTTTCATGGGCACATGTAACTGGCCAGTTCAGGAGGGCTTACTTCAGGTAAGGCTGGATCCAGGATCTCAACATGGCATCAGGACTCCCCCGTGGGGCGGGGGCTGTGACTTTGTTGTGTCTGCTGTGGGGCAAATTGACCCCTGGCACGAGCTGCAATATTGACAGACTTTTCCCAGGTTCCTGCATCAGAGAATCTTGGGTCTCCTTGGGGTCTGAGGACATTTTTCCTTTTCTTTTCTGGGCCTCCAAAAAGGCAACAGGCTAGAGGTCACCCCCTGGCAGCCCACAGTCTGATCTGGCCTGCCTTTAGTGTTTTTGCTTTTTGCCTATACAGGGATTTAAAACTTGGGGCATTTCACACAGAAATCAGGATTTCTGGTTTCCCTTAGGCATTTGGGAGTGTTGGCACAACGGGCCTCTATTGCTGCATAAAGGCAACACAGCTGTGGCGCTGGATGGGGCCACCGCAGTCCCCACTCCTCTCTGTGGACCCACACATAGCCTGCCCCCTTCACTCACACTATCTGCCTGGGCGGGTGGGACCTCACTGAAATGGCAGGCTGGGGGCAAGCTGGGGCTCGGAGGCTCAGTGTCACTCTTATCTTGGTGCCTTGTTTGTATTGAGGGTCATCTCTGGCCGGCACCCACAGTTGCTGGGCCCTGCCCAAGGGGTGGGGCAGGTGGCCTCCGTGCAGGCTCGGCGTGCTGGGGCGAGGACAGCAAGGACTTCCTTCCGCACAACCTCATCCCCACCCTGGAGCAGAGGGAAGGGCCATCCTCTCTGCAGGGAGCCAGCCTCGTCCGCCTTCTGCTGGTTTTCTGCTTACTTCTCAGGTATAGGAGCAAAATCCAGAACTCCGCGTCCCGTGTCCAGGTGTCTGTGCACCATGGGAGGGAGAGAGAGAGGTGGGGGAGACTGGAGATGTTCTCAAAACTGATTGCTCCCCTGTCACCAGGCATTTATCGCTGAGAGCAGTTTGCGATATTTTCAACTATCTTTCGATGAATTTCTAGCTTGCCTCTAAAAACTAGGTGTCATCCTAGAAGCACTTTGGGGTAAGCTGCCCCGGCGCCCCCCGCACATTTATTGTCTAGGACTAGCACCCAGAGAAGGATGGAGAAGCCTTTCCTTTTCATGGGGTGATAAGTGCCTTTTCACAACTGGATTCCAGAGAACAGTGTCTGCTGTCAGCAGTCCAGCCTTCACAGTGGGGACGAGGAGCCTCAGCCCTCTCTGCTCTCCCCCGTGAGCCCTCTCTCCCTCTCCCTCTGTAGAAACCCAGCTCAAACTGGCTTGAGCAGCAAAAGGAATTCCCTGGCTCCTGTAACTGGGTTGGCTGAGGGTGGGGCTTGCTCCAGGGATGGCTGGATCCAGGAGCCCAGTGTCCCCAGGCTCACATGCTCATCCTTTCAGCCTCACCCAGGCCTCTTGGCTCTGCATCTCCTCTCACACTGGTCTCATCCTCTCCCCCACCTGGTGGGAAAGGTGACTGGCCTACCGCCTGGCCTACACCCACAGGGCTCACGATCTCTAAGGCTGAGAGAGACACTCTTTCTGTCTCAGATCCCACAGAAGGCTCTGAGTGGCCTGGGAAAATTCCTGTGCTTGCTCCTGTGGATGCCCAAGGGGCTGGGGGCCTTGAGATCGACATTCCCTCCAGAAGCGACAGTGGGATTGGGGGGCGCAGTTGCCCAAGCACAAGAGAAGCTGGGCCACAAAAGCAGTAGATGGCCAGGGTGGTGTCTGTACAGCTCTCCTCCCATGCTGGAGGTCTCTGGGGCCCACCATGGAGCATCATCAATCAACAGGCGGTCCTTACCTTCGGGGGGCTTGGAATTACAAATCCAAGGAGAGGCTGCTGAGCCCTTGGCTTCTGAATTTCCCCGGACCCCAGGGTTCCCTGGCTTGGCTTCTTTCTCCATCTTGTTCATTAACCTGCTGTGGCCAGGACAGAAACAGCCACTAGCAGAAGGACCCTGCCTAGGCGCTGGGTTTAGGAGACTGGGTCTTAAAATTCAGCCAGGGTGGGCTCCAAACCCCAGCCGTCTTTTCGCTAGCTGTGTGACCTCCAGCAGGTGACTTAACCTCTGTGCCTCAGTTTCCCCGTCTGTAAAATGGGGATAGCAGTGCCTACCTCATTCGCTGGGCTGTAGGGGGAAGAAGTGAGAGGGGCTGTAGAGGCCACAGCTCGGCGTCTCGCACATAGAGCACTCGATCAAAGTCAGCAGTTATTCTGGTTATTTATGGCTTCTCACCCAAAGACTGCAGGCTCCCCAAGGACGCCCGTTGCTGTTTCTCCAGAAGGCTCACCCCATGCACGCGGAGCGGAGTGGGTGTCGGGATAATTCCCTGGGACTTTCCCTTTTGGAAACTGCTTGTGTTTTGGGGGCAAATCCGCTCCCCTGGAAGAGTGTCATTCCCAGGGGCGTCTGCTCAACTGGTCGGAGCGCCTTCTGCCCGTCGGCAGACAGAAGTGGGGTTTGAGACTCTGTCACCCCCCTGCAGCCTCTGGGGTCTCTCCCCCATCAAATGAATGGTTCAGTGAAACAGTGTGATTCCTCCCCTCACGGTCTGTTTCAGCCAGGAAAACACGCTGTCTCTTGTTGACCTGATCGTTTGCTCCACCCAGAGGCATTAAAGGTGTTCGATTTGGCTGTACCTCTGTCTACTTCCTAAAACCCTGGGGGTTTCCGGGGCTGGCTCAAGAATCGCTCAGCTGTTGTTTCTAAGACTCAGGAGCCGTCTGGGGGGGGGGGGGCACTGTCACCCTCAAGGGGTTGCACGTTGGTTCCTGGGGGAGAGAGGGCGCCCAAAATACATCACATTCCCTATATATAAAGCATGTAACACTGTGTTGGTTTCCTAGGGCCATAATAATAATGACCAGAAACTTGGTGGATTAAAACAACAGAAATTGGGGCCCGGCCTGGTGGCTGAGTGGTTAAGTTCATGCACTTTGCCTTGGCGGCCCAGGTTCCTGGTTCAGATCCCACGTGTGGACCTTATGCACTTATCAAGCTGTGCTGTGGAGGTGTCCCACGTACAAAAAAATAGAGGAAGACGGGCACAGATGTTAGCTCAGGGCTAATCTTCCTCAGCAAAAAAACCACAAAAAAACCCACAAAACAATAGAAATCAATTCTCTCGCAGTTCTGGAGGCCAGAAGTCTGAGCTCAAGCTGCCCACAGGGCCGGGTTCCCTCCTAAGGCTCCTGGGGAGGACCCTTCCTGCCTCTTGGTGCTTCTGGAGGCTCCAGGCGTTCCTTGGCTTGAGGCCGCCTCACTCCCGTCGCTGCCTCTGTCTTCACACGGCCTTCCTCCCTGTGTGTCTCCTCTTCTTACAAGGACAGTGGCCGTTGGACTTAGGGCCCACCCTCAATCCAGGATGATTTCGTCCAGAGGTCCTTCACCAGGAACATCTGCAAAGCCCCTACTTCCAAACAAGGTCACATTCAGAGGTTCTGCCTGGACGTGAATTTTGGGGACATGCTATTCAACCCATTGCCTGTGGCTGCAGTGCATGAACAGGTGTCTGTGTGGCGTGTCAGTTGTATTAAAATGCAGATCCTGGGGCCCCCTCGGTGCCACTGACTCGGAATCTTGGGCGTGGCTTCCTGGATTTCACTCACCAGGCACCCAGGTGAAGGTGAGGCCCTGCCGTCCGTCTTCCTGGGCCTGCCCTGTCCCCTGGGGATTTACCCAAGTCCCAGGCCCCAGGACAGCCACCGTGCTGATGAGAGGAGGGGGCGGGGGCCTGTCCCGTGAGCTCCCTCGGGACACACATCATGGGCTTCTGAAGAGGCTCCTTTGTTTTGGAGCTGGAGGCCAAGGAGGGGGAGCAGAGAGGGTGCGGATCTTTGGTGTGACGGTGGCAGGGCCCCTGTCTACACCGGCTTCTGCTTCCCAGCCCTGCCCAAGACGTCTCACCGAGGGAGAGGAAGCAGCCCTCGCCTGCTCTGGCATGGCCACTCGCTCCCTGCGACTCCCCCGTGGATTTCTCTGGAACTGTGGCTGAGGGCTCTCAGGGGAACAGCCAGGTGACTCTCGGGTGTGGTAGGTGTTGAGAACGAGCTCCCTGGGGCAGGCGAGCTGGATTGGTTCTGAGCCGGGGGTCACTGCTGACATCTGTCTGCGCAGGATCGCTTCTCCGGAAGCCCCCTGGGGTTTGGGCCCGGAGAGGGCAGAACACACTGGGGCTCCCTGTGGCCCAGAGGCCGCCCCTGGGACCAGTTCTTTCTCCTCCGAAGCCGGGTCTGGAGGCCCTGCAGAGGCGGCCGTCGGGCACCAGAGGCTGCCGTGGGAGTTTGGACAAGGCCTGGAAGGAACCGGAAAGAGCCAGAAGGAAAGGCACCAGGTAGCTCTCAGGGCCGTCAGAGGCGGCTGTGGCTTTCAAACTTCTCCCCGGCCTGTTTTCCCCTCCCTGCCCTTCAGTGCCCCCTCAAGGCATTTCTGAGGAACACAGGTCCCCAGAAAGCACGATCTGAAACCTCGGACTCCAGGGTTTTCTGGAGCCAAAATTTTTCTGTGACACGAACCCTTTTGAGAATCTGATGAAAGCTGTGGACGTCACGCTTGAATTCTGTTTCCACTTCCCGGCTCCTACGAGCCCTTGAAAAAACGCAGCCATTGACCCCCGGGTGGGAAGCTTTCTCTGGAGTCTGTCCCGATGCTACAGTTTTGTAAAGAGCATCCCCACAGCGGAGACATGTCACCATGGCAACTGCCCAGCACACACTCGGGGTTCCAAGTCAGTCCCCCGGGACTTCTGGTCCACAATGTGTGCCCAGGGGTCTTCCATCACCACCATGAGGAGGGGAGGGCATCCTCACTTGGCCATAACTAGTCCATGTTAATCCTTGACCAACAATCCCGAAGCTTGATGCTTGACGACTCTAGCTCTTGTATATTTGCGTCACATCATGCATTCCCCCAACAAAGGTGGGTACTGGAATCTTGGACACTTTTCTGCCTCCTGTTCCATGTCTCATCTAAGCTCTGCAAATGCCTGAGTCCAAAATGTGCCACTTCTGGAACGGTACGTCATAAGCGTCAGACTCTTTGGGTTGCCAGAGACCCAAAAAGCCAAAAGAAACTGCCTCAAGCAAAAATGGGCATTTACTGGTCCATGTAATTGGGAAGTCCAAGAGTGATTCTGCCTTTCAGGTATAGCTGGATCCAGGTGCTCTCTCTCTGCGTTCTTCCCCACATTGGCTTCACTCTCCTCTGTGTGGCCCACACTCTGGAAGCTGGACAATCCCAGTGGAGTGTTTCTTCCCCCTAGTTCCAGCACAAGTTCCAGGGTGCACTCTGACTGGCCAACTGGGACAGACGCCTATCTCCAAACCATTCACTGAAGCCACCTGGAACTTGGAGGGGATGGTGCCAGCCAAACCACAGGGATGGAGAGTGGGGGAGAGCTAGTGCCCCACAGATGTGAGGGAGGCCCACGGTCATTACCGGAGAGGGCGTCTGAATGCATGAAACTGCAACTTGCTCTCTGATGGCTACCTCTGGTTGTGGGAGCATCCTCGGCCCCTGTGCAGGGCAGGCTGGAAGTGCCAGGGAGTTAACCCCCATGAGCAGCCCTCGACACATGATGAACAAGTGTAGGCTGACAAACACCCCAGCTTCCCCACCTGCATCCTCTACACTCTCCCAGAGGCCCTGGGGGGGGTCAAGCCTGTTGCCCACGGCGGGGAGCTGCTCACTCACACACCGCATACGGGCCTCCTCCCCTTCCCTGCCTGACTTCCCTGTCCCCCACCCCAGCTTCCTGGGGTCACCTCCCAAAGAAACTACTTGCCCTCACATGCTTGTGTCAGGTTCTGCTGCTGGGGGACCCAGCCTAAGACGGGGCAGTCACTAAAGGTGGAGACTGGATGGTGGGCAGGCAAGACAACAGGTACCCCTAGGACAAACTTTAAAAACACAAGGGGCTACAGGAGGATGAGTGCGGGTAGGACTCACATTGCTCAGCATGTCCTAGTCACTGAACCAGGGACCCCTCCGGCCTGCATGGTGGACCCCCTTCAGGTACTGCCATGGAAGCCACCAAGCCTGGACACAGTACCGTAACTTCCCATCTCAGGGGCCAGCATGGCCTCCGACACAGAGGACTCCATGCAGATCAGAGCTTTTGGGACAAAGTTTTCCCCCATCTGTTGCCTCTGAACTCCTGGGGGTGCTCCTGGTAGATTCCCAGACCCCCCTCCCCGCCATCCTGAGATTCTGATTCAGCAGACCTGGGCCAGGGTCCACAAGTCTGCAATCACAGAACATCCCTAGGGAATACATTCTGCCCTGGGGCCAGGCTTGGGAACCGCGTCCCTGGATTACGCCAGAGCGATCCTGGGAGCCTGGGACCTGTCCGAGCTCTGGTCACTATTTCCCAGCCTTGAACACGGGAGCAACATCCAAGCCGCCCAGGGGCCACTCGGCGTGTTAAAGGAAAGCAAAACACGGAGTGAAACTTCCAGGTGGACTTGAGACACAAGCTCCCTGGAGGAGCCCGTGACCTTGGTTGTTGACAATCCTGGAAGGAGGAACGAAAACTCCCAGTGTTCACTGGGTTCCTTGAACATAGTGGCTGCCCCCGAGTTCAAGGACATTCGTCCCTGGACACGCTGTGAGCGCCATCCTGCTTCTCCCGCCAACCTGGGTCACAAACCCGGGAGAGGGGCTGGGTCAGGAGGTAGAACCTGGAGCAGCTTGGCGGGCGGTACTGTGGGCTCCGGGCGGCTGGTTCACCAGGTGCTCGATCGGCTATGCCAAGGACACCGACAGCCTAGGCCTGTGGCACCTACTGTGGGACCAAAACATACGGCCCCGTAGGGAATCTCGGGGGCTGGCACAGCGGCTCTCCACTTGTCTATCCCCGTCTTCGAAGGAGACACAGAAAGACACGCGACCCACAGACACATCCCCACAGGAACTCAGGTGGGAGCCGGCCTGCGCTGGTTCACCCATCTGAACCGAATTCTTCCTTTCTAAAGGGAAACGTGCCCAGCAGGGTAGTAGCTCACGGCTGGGCTGGGCTTGATTAGCCGGCTGTGTTCAGGTCCCCTTGTAGCTCCTCTCCTTAAGGAGGGGGGAGTCTGTCTCCCTTCCCCTTGAATCCGGGCTGGCCGGGGCACTTGATCTGATAGAACGTGGTGGAAACGAGGTCATGGCATTCGGAGCCGAGGCTTCAAAAGCCCTTGCAAGCGCTTCTGTCCCGGGAACCCTGTCTCCACCTTGACCCCGAGCCTGAGCCAGCCTCCCCGAGGCTGAGACACCACGTGGGGCAGAGCCACATCCTCGGCCGTGGCCAGCCCAGCCCAGCCCCCGCCGGCCCATTAGCTGAGTGCAGACCATGAGTGAGCCCCGCTGAGACCACTGATCCCCGTTTGAGCGCCGGAATGACCCAGTTGACCCCAGAATCACGTGCAAGCATTACTTCTGACGGGAAGCAATAACTCGGTGTTGCTTTAAGCCACTAAGTTTTGGGCTGTTTGTTATGCAGCCCTAGAGAACTGCCAGTTACGACGTGTCTCAGTCTCCTGGGGCTGCTGCTACCAACACCACAGACTTACTTCTCACGGTTCCGGAGGCTGAAAGTCCAAGACCAAGGTGCCCGCAGACTCAGTTCCCGGTGAGGGCCTCCTTGGCTTGTTGGGCGGC